CCAATGAACACCATGCCACCATCCCAATCCTCCCCAAATCAGACAGCTATCCTGCAACCGACTTTACCCAACTGTTATTCCTGCAACACTCCTAACCCCCTCACCATCATGAAAGTCCCAAACACCCTAAAATGGTGTGTCAAAGGTAAAGGACACATTCCCCTTGGAACTTCCATTCCATGCAACATCACATACACTCCATCAGAAGAACCAATTGTGACAATTAATTTTTTCGATTGACCTTTGTTTTACTTGCTTTACTTGCTCACTTGATTTGCTTTGTTTGACAATTGATTTTGTTTTATTTTTCAACTGATTTTTGTTTTACTTGATCATTTCATTTTGTTTTATTTTTCGATTGACTTTTGTTTTGCTTGATCATTTCATTTATGCTTTGTTTGACAATTGATGTTTTGTTTTATTTTTCGGAAAGATGACTTTTGATTTTCAGTTGATTTTATGTTTTCATTTCATTTAGTTTTGTTTCACATTTCATTTTGTTTTGCTTGTCAATTGACTTTAATTTTTTCAACTTGATTTTCTTTACCACATTTTTTCTCAACTTAATTGATCTTTCTTTTATTTTAGGTCCGTGTACCTTCCGTTCATTCTATTTCCGATTTTGAAACGCAAATCGGAAAACAAAAAAAAGGGCCTTTTTCTTTTTTCAATATATGTAGCAGGTTTAAAAAAAACCCCAAAAAGAGCCGTTTTCCATTAAAATATAGCCATAAAATTGGATTTTGTGTTGTTTTCCTATTATTGATTTTTATATTCCAAGATAAACACGAACAATCCAATCTATGTTAACCCAAAATGCAAAAATGCGGGGATTTTTTAACATCTGTATTATTACAAGGTGAACCGGAAGCAGTATACCCGAGAGCAGTATTTTTGCCTTTTTTCCGCGATTAGCACGTCTTTAGCACAACAGTAGCCGATTCGGTTGGCAGGAGTTTTAAGACTAGACGAGATGGTGTCTCTCGAGCCTTATGGAAATTTAATAAGAGAAATGATAGCGCAAAATCTCTCACACGCGGACAGTTCCACGAATTTATTACAATTAGGTGTGCAGCAAGGATGTGTCAGGAGATTTTGTGCACATCACAACATTTCCAGGAGGGGACATGTATCCGACACAAAATTAGAGGTTGCTATCAGCAGGGCAATAAATCAGGTAAGTTATTTTGGTTTTCTTCGATTTACAGAGGTGGGTAGTAACGAGTTACATATACTCTGTTACATTTACCACGTGACTGTATTTAACCAATCAAATTTGGAAATTTGTAGTTCTTGTGCTGTAATTTATTTTGTAAATATTTAATTTATTTTTCATTTTTATTTATTCTATTATTTTATTGATTGAAAGTACTTGAATTTACCTGAAGATTATAATTTTGTATTTTTGTCTCATTAAATGTCTTCACAAATAAATCAAACATTTCTCAACAGTTACTCAGTACTTGAGTAGTTTTTTCAACAAGTACGTTTTTACTCTTACTCAAGTATTTGATGACTATTTTTTACTTCTAATTGAGTCATATTATTCTGAAGTAACAATAATCTTACTTGAGTACAATTTTAGGCTACTCTACCCACCTCTGTTTTATATTTTATATTTCATGTAGACTAGGCCTACATGTCACGGCTTATGTTGATTCATCAGACAGGGTCAACATATGGCCGAAAGATGATGACCGGGTACCTGTCTGCAATGGGAGTGGTTGCTGGTGAACGCCGGGTGGGGAAGATTTTGAGAACAATTCATCGTCCCTACCACGAAATGCGCAAACGTGTAAGTATCTTTTTCAAGCCTTTAATGTTGTGGTATATGGTATAATGTATTTTACTAACTGACTTTTACTTACTTTTCCCCCCAAAGGGCGCACGTAACCTTAACCCCGTCCCCTACAGTGTTGCATACATGGGACACAAAGTCCACATCGACCAGAATGAGAAATTAGTCATGTTTGGGGTGACACATGTTCTTGCAATAGATGGGTACAGCAGTAAGGTCGTTGCCCACGCAACCATGCCTGTCAAAAATAACCTCACAATCTATGAAGATGTGTACAGGTTAGTACAGTGCTTCTTAACCTTTTTTTGGCCCTTTCTCTGATTTCTGAATCCTTTTTATGCAACTTTATTGTGATTGTTTGTGAAAAAGTCCATGGAAACTTTAGTCATTATATTACATACTAAGTAAAAAGAAAAAAAAGACAAAATCATTTTTTTTTTCTTTGCATTTTCTTATATGATTTATTTTTATATTTTTCCATTTTACTCTTGCTCTCTTTGATTTTTTGCTGGAAAATACACTACTCACAATAAGTTAGGGATATTGTGAGAGACTCAGTGGATTTCTTACATTTTTGGGGTAATAAATATTAAATTAATGACAATGGTGTTTCTTCTCATTCATTATTAGTAATATCAAAGGGAACTTTTACTTATTTCATTAAAATTCAGACCAAATAGGAAAAGCACTCATGTAAATGACAATATCCCTAACTTATTGTGAATAGTGTACAATAGGGACATAGCCTGAAGCCTCACACAGTTCCACTACAAATTTGAGAACAATAAATCACATCTATAGTCATCTGCAGGCTTCTGTTGACTTAACATTTTATGAGTTAACATTTGATTGAGTCATGTTTCACTATTTTATAGATCAGCAGTTCTTGAATATGGGATGTGGGACCAGGTTAGGGTGGACCAGGGCCGGGAATTTTACTTGTCCCTCTACATGCAGGAGTTGCTGTCTAACCACGGACACAACTTGCAAAGGCAACCATATCTGCAAACTCAGTCTACAAAGGTGAGGTAACGGTCACCTTAATGTACAAAATGTGCCTTGTTTATGCCCGAAATGAGACTATGCTTTGGAGATGTTACTCAGATGTTTCGTACTGAACAACAAAATAACAAACTCTAGCAATGATTGTTTTAGGAATATATAGCTATTTAACACATTTTTTAAACAGAATATATCACTTAACCTTAACCAGATGCACCCTTGAGTGGGGGTGCTTGTAGGTACCCCTACACATCAATCATCCTGTTCCTTGGACTCCCAATCAACTCTCTTCATATTGTGTGTTAACTTTTTACATCTGATATAATCCTGTTTCCTCTCACCATGTTCATTTTGCAGACCATGAGTGGGGATTTTTTTTTTTTGAGTGTTGGTTTTATATTATCCACCTTTTTTAAGTTTAAAAAAAGTCTACCCTTTTCTTGTCTACAGAATCATATGGTAGAACGAATGTGGGTAGAGATCAACAACCGAGTAAATTACCCATTGAAGGAGGCCCTCGTGCAGCTGCAGGATCAGGAAGTCCTCAACATGGACGACAACGTCACCAGATACTGTACATCTAACCTTACTGCTGAGCTGTGCAAGATTGGCATAACAAGAGCTGTACTTGCATGGAATGCACACAGAATCCCAGGTGAGTTACATAAAAAAACATGTATCACACAATCCAGTCCTTTTTTGTGAACTTTTTCTTTATTGTAAAGTTGACAGTGAATTCAAACAGTAGCTGACATTTTGTGACCTATGCTTTGCTTCACAGGCAAAGGAACACCCAATCGTTTGGCAGAAGGAGGATGTCCAAAAAAACTAGGAGAGGAGTTGTTGCCACATGCCTCCCAAGCAGCAGACATGTACCAGCAGGATGTTGGCTCTTCACTGACTAGAGTCTCCTGCTTTGGAACTGACCCCTTCTCAACTGAGGAGGACAAAATATCAGCAGAACAACATTTTGCTGAGGAGTACCCTGATATTTCAGTTTTATTAGACAACGTGGTAAACTATAACTTTGTACCTTTTCAGGATGCATTGCTCTATCTGATAAACATTACGCAACAATATACATGAAAATGTCAAATAAAGACAAGTTGGTTCTGGATGTACTGTATATTTGTTACTTTCCTTTAACCTCTAGAAAATGGGTCCTGTTAAGGTTAATCCGGAAAATTACATTCGTCATCACAATATTCAAAAGTCAATGCAAAGATGCATTGACTCTTTTACAGGCTAACATTACAAGACATTCAAGAAATTTGCAACATTGAAAAAAATAAAAAAATCTTGAAATGATAGTCTGTCAAAGAGTCAAAGCAAAGATGATGAGCATTCATGGTTATTTATCTTTGCATTGGCTTTTGATTATTATGATGACTAATGTAATTTTCCAGATTAACCCTAACAGGACCCATATACGGGGTCTCTAGGGCTTAAGAGGTTAATTGCAACTAAAATCGAACACTTGCTACAATAGCAATGTTTAACATTACACTATGTTCCCAACCCAGTAAACATATTTTTTCTAAAGTGGAACATGAAATACAAAAAATATATAACAATAAAAATATTCTGTATCCTCTACAGCCGTTGAACAAGTGCAAAATTCCAACTGACTTTGAACAAGGCAATTAGCCAGATGTACTGTAACAGAGGTAATCAAGCTTAAATCACAGAACGTGATACATTCACATCTTAATTACACCACCCAGTATGGAGAGAACATTGTCCAGACTGATCAGCCTGTGTGCATTGACAGAGAACTCATCTGCCCTGCATTTGAGGCACTGGTCGGATGTCAGCATCCACTGGTCAACACAGTTTTTGCAGCCGACAAAGCTTTTGCAGCATACGGCCATCACAGGTTCTTCCATTAGCCCTGTTTGATGAAGAAAATAAAAAGGACAAGACACATGCAAGATTAGAGTTCAATATATTATCTTCTCTTTACTTTACCTATATATTATATATGTTTAAAAGCTTGGCAAAGGATAGTTTAACTTTAACATGCAAACGTGAATTAATGCTTGATTCACTTAGACATTCAATTTGATCCTGTTTAAAGGTAGACTTTAATATAGATCAAACAACAAATTATGTTACAGACCTTTGCACACAATACAACCAAAGGCATCCTTCACGTGTGTTATCATGTTGTGGGTCAGAACCAGCATGGCGCCCGTGGTGTTGCTGGCATGTGTTGACAGGTCCTTGATGACTGTGGTGACTTCACTCAGTCCTTGAGCAGCCAAGATCACTTCTTCTATTTTGTCATGGACCTCCTGAAGACTTGTGGAGTCCATATCTTAATGACTACAAGGAGGGACAAAAACAACAACAACAAAAAATCATACAATATTCACCAGTTCTGTTCAGATAACCTTTTTTCTAAGAGAGATGTTATTAAGAGAGATGTTATTAAAAACAAAATAAATATTAATAGGCAGTAACTAAAATGTTTACCTCAGTTTCTTTCCCTTTGTTCCTTGCTGGAACTCATGGAAGATGTTCTCTGGGACAGCAAGAAACTTTTTTGCATTTTGCTTCCAATACTTGGAGCCTAGCAAGAGAGGAAGACAAATCATTTAACAGGTATAATGTAAACACATTTGCAGCTAAACAGAGTACTTTGTGGGTCAAAAAATTAAGAGACAAAGAGAGCACAGTATTTAAGTAGATGGGGCATATAGTTGATCAAACAAAGCATTTTTATTTATTATTATGTAATCATTAATTTTTAAGTACCTCTTGTCCCTTCAGAGTCCACAATCTCATTTCCCTGGGCATCAGTCAGGATGAGAGGGTCATCACTCTGCAGGGCATCGTGTATTTTTGCAAGGATACCTGTGGTTGTGGCTTCAAACTCAAACAGTCTGAGTACAACCATACGAGCAGGCTTAAGTTTCCCCTGGCTGAGCTCAGCAATGAAAACAGACCTAGGAAGATTGTTGTGGGAGTGGTTTACATCAAGTCAAATCAATTAATTCCATCTCAAACACACAGTCTACATTACAATTGATCCAATTACAATTGATTCAAGTTTTTAAATATCTTGGTTACAAAGGATCTTATGAATTACAAAAACAAATACAAATATGTTGATTTATTCATATGTAGCTTGCTAGTCAATTGTAGGGGCTGTGAACAGATGAGACAGGGGGTACCTTTGGAAGGTGTCACTCATGCTTGCTCGGGGGTGTGTGGGAGCTACGGCCTGAGCAGGTGACCCTAGAGCAGCAGTGGGCTGTGCTGTACGGTGGAACTGGAAACGGTTCTGGCCTGACAATGGATGAGTCTGCTCAGCAACTGGTAGACCAATATCATCCCCATGAACCTCATAGTGGCCACGAGGTCTTAGGTCCAAGCAGCTGAAATGTCCAGCCGATCCCGCGAATATCGCCACATTGTCATCATCAGTTATATACAGGCTAGGAGCATATACCTTTGAAAGAAAAGCATCAGCTAAATGAGATAGAACAGATATGTGCAACCTACCAAACATTTAATTCTTGCAATTCAATTATTATAATATTCTATTGCCACACACACACACACACACACACACACACACACACACACACAAACACAATTTTGTAAATAGGCATATAGTTGTTAAATTTCAATTATCTTACATTGAGGAGCCTTAATGAGTCGGCTAGCCGTGTGCTACGCATAGCATCGTTAGCATGTTCTCCAAGCAAACGAAAAAGATGTTACCTACCTGGAATATTCTGGCGATTTTATCTCCAATCATGTCGTCCTCCTTAAGCGTTAGCCTTTTGTTTCCTTTAAAAAGGATATAACTCGAGTCCATTGTGCACGATGAATTGTTACCGCACCGACAAAATACAGGTTGTTTGCAGACCTGCACCACGCTGAAGTTAGTTAATCTAGACTACCACACTGCTTCCTGCGCTTCGTGCAAGGTGGATAAATCCGCCGATTATTTTATTTCCGGGTCACAGACTGAAAAGCGTTAAAATTGAAAATTGAAAATGGAAATACAGAAATTCTCAAAGGCCTTTCCCCGAAAACTAAATTTTGGGTCAGAAAATGCAATAGTTTTTTAAAAAAGGTTCATTAAATTGGTTGTCCGATTTTTGATTCAGAAATGGAAATAGAAAAAATGACCCTAAATTTGTTTTTTGATTTGCGTTTCAAAATCAGAAATAGAATGAACGGAAGGTACACGGACCCTTCCACACATTCTCCATTACATTTTCAATTTCATATTTTTCCATGCCACACAGAAGGTGAATAGTACATAAATATACACACATTAAGCATAT